CCCAAACATGTGCATCCCTGCCATTTCAGCTTTGAAGAACTGAATAAGTGATTGGGTGAAAGAAAGAATCCATTTATCCATGATGTTATTGCTCTCCTTAACCGTGTTCTCATTGTAAAGGAATTCTCTTCCCTCATCCTATCATCAACACAGAAATACAAAACACATGGTCAAGGCATAACGGGTATATATTCAAACCTCCACATCGAGCCACCTGTCATTCACTACTGTGTTGTCACCTTCACTGTGTTACACTGGATTCCTAAGACAGAACATTACATTCCAGAAACACCTATGTAAGGGAAATTGCTAAGGAAAACCTGACTCCCACTGCTGCTGCTTTCACCACACCAAACCTCCAACTACAAAGGAGGCCAGGTATTTGGCTCTGAGAAACCAGAGAAAGCAGTACAGCACGCGACGGTATGCAGCTGTTCTTTCCCTGTTTGCAGTCCAAGTCACAGCTTCCAGATACAAGGTAGGACTCCCAAGTTTACCCGACTCCTCCATCCAGGAGGATCTGAAGCATTTACAAGAAATGTGAGTTCTATTTAGGGAAAGGGCATATAAACAATGTAATTATTTTTTTTAAGAGCATATAACAAATTCAACAGATTAAAACATAGAAGAATGTAACAACCTGAAAAAACACGGAATTTTTAGGCATCCAACATGCACATAGTGCATTGTGTTGCTTTCCAGAGTACTGATGTTTGCTCCCATCTGAGAAACCTCTTAAGGCTTTGCTGTGTAGGGCATGGTAAGCACCCTTGTCAGTACCCGCAGCCTCTTTCCCATGTGAGCATTCCGATGGCTGGCTGACAACAGCGGTGCAGGGTTTTATTTTTTTCCAGATTCACAGCAGTATTTAACATCTGGTTTTAAGAGTCTTTGGACTTTCCCTTCCCTCGGAGTCCAGATTAAAAATACCTGTTTGGATTATTCGACCCAATAATTAAGCATCTACTTACATCGTATAAAGGAGAAGATCTCCAGCAAAGAAAATGATCCTGCACACCCAGAAGCACAGCAATGCCAGTGTGAGGTCAGCAAGCATTTAACCAACTACAATTACTGTGGTAATTACAGTAAGCACAAAATTATTGTTAGGCTTCATCCAGGACACTGGGATTGTAACTTCTCTCTTGCAGGAGGCAGAATACAATGAAAAGGTTGTTTAAGACTGTGCCTGAAATCTTATTTAAGCACTGTCACCTCCAATTGCACATTCTTTTCCTAATACGGTGCATCGGAAGGGTTTCACTATCTATTGAGAAAGAAAAATGACATCTGCTGAATTACCAAAACTATCTGCTTAAGCACCTGGATTTTCCACCGGGGTCTTCCATCCCCACTTTGGCTGATCCTGAAAGGCTTAATGGGATCACAGCAAAAGCTGCAAAGCACAGTTTAGATAATTCAAAGGTCAAACAGGAAAACTGAAGTTTATTTTTAGGGTAATGCGTAAGTTTGGCTGATGAATGCTGTCTAGGGATCCTAAGAAAAGATTTGTTAAATATTAGGATCTGAAGTTACCAGACTTTCTTCCCAAAAGACATTGTTAAAAAGGTATACCATTTCTTCAAGTCAGCTATTTACTGTGCTATTTACTGAAGTCAGCTGCCTTCATTGCTTCAAATGGCAACTCTCCACAGTAATTAGGCTGCTACTGTAATTGCATGTGTAGGGCAAGGTCTGTTGTTCCCACTCTCCCATAGAAGTCTGCACTAACAAGTGGTAAACTTCCATCATTAATCTCAGCTGAAAGATTAAAATTGGTTTCAACAGAATCTATACAACATACATGTAAAATCTTCTGCTTAAATGCTGGATGAGTGACATGAGCTTCTACACTTTCCAGATGAAAGCAAGATTAACATTTCTTTGTTGCAGTAATTTTTCATTTTTTAGTAGACTTCAATACAATCTGCAAGTCTAAAGCATTACTGCTTTTATGATGATCTACCTTTCTTTCCATTCCATTTCTTCATTTTTTCCTAAGTTGTATTTAAATTTAACTTTTAAAAAAATGAACTGTCATGTTAAAGAAGGCAATCTTCTTGCTGTGGCTAATGTATTCAGTATTGAGTATTCCCAAGTTAAACATTTTTATGCAGATTCATAATTAAAGTTACAGTAAATGCCTTCGCTCAAGAAATTGTCACAGCAGCCACTACTGAAAATAACTTTCTTTTCATTACTTATTTGCAGTTCTATTTGTGTTAATTCTCTATGCTCTTAAGCAATGTTCTCAGTGCAGAGAATCTTGCAGTGCCGACGCCATCCTCCGACAGCATCCTTCCTGCCATGGAGCCATGCCCGACTCCAAGACATTGGGTAACAGCAAAGACAAAGCAGCAGCAGCACTCAGGGCAGGATTAATGACACCTACTGCCTCCGAGCTACTACACAAACACCATTAAGACCAAGTACAAAACCAACAAGGCTTAGTATGGACATTTCAGACGAGTTCCCTCAAGCACATGTGGTACCTGGCTTTCAACTGGTGTTCCCAACAAGGTGACTATGAGCAGATAACTGCTATGTATGTATTAACCCCAGAAACTCCAAGCCCCTCTCTTGTTCTCTAATTTCAAGAGTACGAATGCAATAGCATCACATTTATCTCAGATAGAAGGGAATCAAGAGATCCTAATCCAAGAAATGATAGCAGTTATGTCGGGGCAGTTCCCTACCTTCCACTCCTCATTTTTATACACTAATAAGCTTGGTCAAGAAGAGAAGGACGCAGAGTAGCTTTATAAAACAGGGTACAAACAGCAAATAACACAGAATTTAACAGCAGATATATATACACCCTGACCTCGCTCTGAAGTCAGCCTTGCTTTGAACAAGGAGGTCAAGATCAGATCACCTCCCACGCCAGCGGCCAGACCTCCCTTCCAATCTAAACTTCTCTACAATGCTAATTCACCCTGACAGTGGGAAGAGCCCAAAGCCCCTTCCACTTTGCTCTTCCGTGCTTCAGAGAGCTGTACCTTATGTTGCAGGATCTGAACATTCTGAACAAGAAAGCGGTATGCATTGTACCAGGGTAGGAAGACATCCTTCAGTACATCCCTTACTCCTTCCTCCTTAAATCTCAGATTTTCTGCTCTTACCACAGGAGAATTGATCAGATATAACCTGCAAAATAAGAACACAATACTTAAAAGCTTAAAACTGAGTATACTGATAGAAATGCACTTAAACGTACAGTAAACCCTGGAGAGCTGCACAGCAAGAGAAAATGACCCAAGGGAGCAGCTTCACACTAAGAACTCCAGGGAAGACAGTATTGTAAGCATGTAAGGGAGTGAACATACGACCATTCACTTCCTACTGGTACAGGATTATTTGTATGGTCCTGCATATAGAAGATGGATTGGAATTCAAATTTTCTTTTTCACTCCAGGAGTTCCTTGAAGTGCTAACACGTGCTCAGATGCTATCACAGTATAAAACAAGCAGTGGATGCATGGAATTAGTGTTCACCTTTAGAATGGCACCTATTGTTTTGGTAGTGTTTCAAATTCCTTAAAAGCAACACAGTACTTTTTGACTCAATCTAGTTTGTTTCCTCAATTACAAAAAGCTTTGGGCCCATTGTAAACACAGGACTAAGGAGTAAGGTTAAACAGGCAAATCAAAAGTAAATTAATGTTTTCAAGAAAAACAGCCCCAAAAGAAGACAAAGCGTGTAACACCTACCAATAGAAATGGGCCTCAGCTCCAGAAACAGATCAAAAAAGCAGAGCAGAGGGTTCAGGTGAGGCGGACTACTTAGAAGCAGCCCCACCTCCCCCAAATCATGCCCCCCTCAGCCAAAGGGGGTCACCTACACAGGCAATCCACCCTGTCTAGGGAGATCCTTCTCAGGGCAGTCTCTCTCAAGCTAACGGTTCCTGATTTCAGAGAGAGACACGTGTCCCTCAGCTCCTTTGCTGGCTGTGTGTCTGCAAAAACACACCTTTATCCCATCTTCTTCCCTGAACAAATCCCTTCTCTCTACAGAGACAAGTGGTATGTATCACACTAACTCAAAAAGCAACCAGGTATTAAAAGAAACTTGGAAACAAACTCGATTTAGATACACTTCATTTAATTTTCCAAATACGAAAAGCAAACCAAAATTTTTTTTTATTTTAAAGAACGTGGCATTTCTCAATAGAAATTTATTAACTCTTTCTCACATTTTATGAAGTTTTAAAATCATGATTCTAAAGCTAATTCATCTTTACAGGCACTTCCTGTAGGAGGCTTTAAATCTTAATGGGGGTCTGACACAGCACAGTCAACAATACCAGAGCATAAATTCTTCAGGAGAGGGCTTCTTGCGTAAAAACAAATACATAAAAATAGATCTGCCAGAGTAAACAGACAGTAATGCAGCACAGAAAACGGCATTTTCCGTACCGTACTGGGAAAAGAAAAAAGTATTTTTAAACACAGTATTTGAATTTGAATTATAAATTTACAAAAGTACAGAACAATTAAGCGTGATAACTAGTAAGTCCTTAAATGAAACTACAATTTATAAGTAGATATTTAAACCAAGCCTCCTATCACAATTATTTATGTGCTTATTACTCATTATTTATTTCAGAAGTCAAACATTACTTTGCTTCGAATACAAGAGCTAGTCCGGCCCCAGGGTACACGCAGACACTCCAGGCCTTTAACCAGTTTGGGACCCACCTAGAATAACAACCGGTTCACATTGCCTCCACTGCTCTCCTCCAGCTGGCACTGCTGTCTCCTCAGGTCAGAGCAACGAAGGAGCCGCGACACTGCTCCTTTGCACCCGTGTCAGCAGCACTCGCTGCAGAATCTATCAGAAGTCTACTTAAAATAGCTCTTTAGTGTGAGAAATTAAAGGAAATATAGCTCTCTAAGGCTACAGTTTTGGTTTTGCCCCTTTTTTTAAAAAAAAAAACAAACAAAAAAAAAAACAAAACCAAACCGTAGCAGCCCGCCTTACAACATAGCATCATGGACTGGTTTGGGTTGGAAGGGACCTTAAAGCCCATCCAGTTCCACCCCCCCTGCCTTGGGCAGGGACACCTTCCACTAGACCAGGTTGCTCCAAGCCTCATCCAGCCTGGCCTTGAACACTTCCAGGGATGCGGCATCCACAGCTTCTCTGGGCAACCTGTTCCATGTAAATGTTAGAAGAATACCAATTTCCCAAATTATTCCAATGGCAAGATACTTACATCTATTATATGGAAAGAGCAACGAGGCACCTGATAAGGGAAGAATTTATCACTACACCCAGAGCCATTACCCATTGTGCAGAAATAACACCTTTCTCAAATCAAGCCACTATTATCAAGTTCTCAAGCCACGTATGAGAAACACTGAAGTTACTGTTTTAGAAAGATGAAAAGGAGATTATCTGTGGTAACAATACTGTTTCTTCTGCACTTTAGGAACAGATTGAGAGGAGAACGTAGCATATCACTCCCAACAGCAATACTTGCCTCAGGATACATGAAAGCAAAGGGCTTGTAAATACTATGAACAGCAAATTCTCCTTCTAACATACCTCAACTCTGACAGCTATCCAATCCAAGTCATAGGTTTTAGAAATACTGAAATATAACTGGTTTTGACAATTCTTACGGATCGCACACAGGATTCAAATTTCAGGAAGTCTGAAGTTGGGTTGTTGAATTCACTGTGCAGTTATTTCTTCTGTTTGTCCTTTCCATTCAACTCCATGTTTGTTTAAACAACTTACACCTGTATTTTCTGCTGATCTATTTATCAAGCTACTGCTGAGAATACTTCAAAGCTGTAGTTAAAAAAATATATATATGTGTACTGCAAAAGCAAAGTAACTCTGCAGGGAAACAGTGCCAAGAAAAAAAAAAAACCTCAGTTGTAGCTTTTTCTATAAACAGAACACATCAAGCACTTCAGTGAATAAGCAGAGAGAACTGAATCGCAGAGCTCCTTCCATAAATGAACCTGGTTTGCAATGCTTTTTACTCTCTATGTGGGTGTGTATAAATAAATGTGACATTAAAGAACGAGTACACAGGCAGAAAAGTGAATTAGCTTTAGAAATTAAAAAAAAAAAAAGGGAAGTCTAACTTCTGGTGTTTGAGATTTTTTTGTTTTATAAAAACACAGATTTTTCCAATGGAAACATCGCCTGCAATTAAAAAATCTCCAATTTAAGTAACTCCAACTAATGTTCCAACTACCAATTCACCAATATTCTGCTAATACACCTTGATTATTCGTAAAGAAGAATCTTGATCCAGTTTAAGAAATCAACCCAACTCTCCGCTGTAAACACATACGATAATTTACTAGGCCTTTTAAATGCTAAAGCTTGAAACAACAAGGAACTTCACACCTATTTCTTTAAATTACCTAGAACAAGCAGCAACCATCTGTCTCAAATAAAACCACAGCACGCTAAGCTTTCATTCAGCCCAATCAATACTGTGTATGGTTGTAACGTACAATTCAGTGTGTGTGAGTACCGGGCTCCTGAGATATGCCTAAGTGGTGTGCTCCCGCAGCTATTAAAACGGGTTTATTGTACCTTTAGCTCAAGGTACCAACCACTTCATGAACATAGTAGTGCATCTAGCCAAAGTACCTGGCAACTGCATAATTACATTTAATACATTAGCATCAATTTAATGACACACCTGAACTGTGTTTAATCTGTTTGACCAGAACAATTTCTATATATATGCAGGCTGCTCCGCTTCTGCTTTTCTGGTGTCACTGCTTTTCTGGTTTCATTAGGTACACACTGTATACTTACATCAAAAAAGAGACACTTTCTCTTTAGAAAATGTATAAGCAACAAACAAACATTCTGTGCATTAGAGAGTCATCCTTTCCTAAAATAAGGATTTAACAGTAAACATAAGATTGTTCTCAAAGATTTTACTCAAATTTTCACTGGGTCAATTTCAGGGAACTAGCTGCAACAGCAGACAGAGCTGGCCCGAGTGGAGCATTCCGTACAAACTGGACACACATTTTCTGAGAAAAGGCCTCCAGTCAGCACGTCCTCTTTGGTTGTTACCAGCCTTGAGGGAGACAAGACCAGAGTATGTAAAGCCCGGGAGCTGTAACGATTGCCAATTCTTTTCTGCCAGCCACTCTTTCAGCTATTTGGCTGACAATGGTCTAGAAATTTCTAAAATTAACTTTCCTCTTACTGTTAGTTGTCGAAAACCCATTAAGTAGCCCTCCTGGTCTGCTATGAAGAGAAAGCTAACATACCAGATTGTACATTGAATAAAGGAATCCTACCTTAGTGCATCAGCTCCATAACTATTTACAATACTCATTGGATCAGGATAATTCTTCTTCCTTTTGCTCATTTTTTGGCCATCACTAGAAAATATCAGAATGTAGGCATAAATTCCCAGAATTCTTGTAATACATGGATAAAGGGAAAAAGCCCTTTGAAACCAGCTTGTCTGTCTTACTATGTTCTTGGTAGCATAAACAAAATCATGTATTAGTACATCATTTCAGTACGACTCTTGAACCCACACAAGCCACTTAAACCCAAACCAACTCAAGAAACTCCCAAGCTAAAAATCTAAGCAGGAAATCTGTCTTTCCTAACAAAGCTGAGGCAAGACGCCCTTGTTTTGAGTCTATGAGTCAATCCCTCCAGCCCACTGACAAAGCTTTATTTTGAAAATAAATAAATAGATAAATAAATAACTTATTTAAAATTACACCTAAAACCTACAGTTATAATCCCCTCTACTACGTATAACAGGTATCATTTATTTTCTATTTTTTCCCTTTTCTGACTTCTCATCTTCTCTCTCTAGGAAGGACTAATCCTGCTGGGAAGAGCCTAGTGCAACAGATAGCTGGGATGTGTAAACCTCACACTCTCAGGGGCCCCTTACCTCCCGCAACACTGCTATCTCCCTGAGAAGTCTTAACAGCTCCAAAGCCCATTTCAGATTTAATTTAGTTCACAGGGACTTATCTGAAATATTCTGTAACTAAAAATCTGTTCAGGAAAGAACCGAGAGACATACCAACCTGGCAAGAACGAGGCCATTCACAATTACATTCTTGAAAGGAGGCCTTCCAAAAAGAGCCGTGGACAGCACCAGCAATGTGTAGAACCTGAAAGGGACAACACATACACGACTTCCTAAATACACCAAGCTGAAGTCTGCATCTCCTTCATTACAAAAGGAATTTTTCACTATGTTCTTTTACTCGACAAAGTTAAAATTGAAGTATGTGGAACATTTATGTGGCAAACAGAAGAGGAACTTAGAATAAGTAGACCTTTTTTTCTTTTGTAGGATATCGTGCTGTTTGCTCAGCTGTGATCTACTAGTCCAAGAAGGCTGAAAAAAACATAATAATAAGCATTAAGAAGGTCATGAAGAAGAAAACTGTAGCATTTTTCCCTTTAATAGAATTCTTTCCCTGAACAAGCTTCCTATTTGCTCACTGTAAACCCCTGAACACAGGATCAGTCAGGAACAAACACGGCAGACAGGACTGGCACGCGTGCACATGTTTGCTAATGGGTGTATTCAACCTAGAAGACAGCAGAACAGTTACTGCTGGGAGCATAAGAACAAGTCAGCAAAGTGAGCAGAGGCTCCTACTGATCAAACAAACGTCGCTGGTTAAATCAGCAACCGCTAGAAAACATGAGACTGTAGGTGGAACCCACAACAAAGGGCAGCAGTGGGTTCCTGCCCCATCCCACCATTTGATGTGGTTGCAATACTTGCATAAACTATCTAGGACACTTAAGAACTGAGTGTTGCAGCAAGCTCAGGCATCTACTGTTTAATACGTCGACACAGGATTACGTCTGAAGTTACACGGAGGTGCAAGATGATGTGATCATTTCCCACCCAGGAGTCGGAACCTTCACCAAAGGGGCTCCCCATGAGCGTTGGTAACTGCACCGCTGGTGATTACTTTTAAGAAAACACCTGGAGGGTGGGCCACAGCTTTTCTGTTTAAAATGAGTATCACACAGATGATTGCTTAGCAACCTTAAAACAGCAGAACATACAACAGTTAATTGATTTAGAATGAGGCACAGGAGGTTATGCCTCAGAACTACGCATTTGCATGAAGATTTAGTGGAGAAACACTGGGGGGGGGGGGT